GTAGGTAGGTTATCTAGGTAGTAATATTAATAAAAAGATTGATAATTAGATATTCTTGTTTCTTAACTAGTTTTTTTATTTTTATTTTTAATGTTTTTCACATTTTAGCAGTTTTTCCAGTTTTGCCAGTTTTGCCATTTTGCCATTTTAATTTTTTTTTGGCAAACGTCGAAACTAGTTTTGACTTTTGCCAATGGCAAAACCTCTAGGTTTTGCCTAACAACACTAGTCGAAAACATGATATTTTGTCTTGTTCTTAGTGAATTTCCGGCTAAAAAGTATAATTTTACTTTGATTCGCAACTTCAAGAGGAAATATGGTCCAAAAAACGTACACTTTAGCCAGTGTTGATGCCAGCCAACTCCAATTATGGAAGGTTGACATTCCTATCAATGTTGATAAACTGAATAATGCAAATATTGACGTTGAAGAAGAACTAGAAGGTGTGGAGATATTTCCAGCAGACTTTATTTCAAAACACTTTAGTGGACAGTTTCCTGTAGCCTCTACAAAGAACATTCATACAAATATCATCGTACAAGCACCAGTTACTAGTGAGCATCACCTAATGTACATGTATTCACGGTTATATGATTTAATATTTTTTGTATTAAAGTGGAACATATAAACTCAAAACTATGATAACAATGCAAGGGTATTAATGCAAGCAGTACATGGCAATCAACTCAAGCTACATTTAACGATAACTGGGAAATGAAGCTACAGTGTAAAGGGTCGGTCACAACAATCGTGTGCGGGTAATAAGGAGGTGACCATAAGGAGGTTTGGCTGTATTTACAAATAAATGACAAAAACTTGCATAGTTAATAAAAATACATATAAAAAATTGCATAGTGTAAATTTAAATAAAATTCTCAACAATTTTTACAATCATTCCATAGAACACATCCACATTACCATGTATATTATAAATTATTTTTTCAGCATTAGAAAAACAGTTGGTTTTTCAGCAATAACAACAATTTGAATAATAGTTTTGAGATGCTTTCTTTGGTTTATTCTTGCTAGGTAATTATAATTTATTAGCTTACTGTTATATAATTGTTACATATTAAATTATTATACTTACTTAATCAAGATATTATTGCTATCATTATTTTAGCTTGAAAATTGATTTAATCATTCATTATTTTGTTTAAAGCTTGCTTGTCAAAAGAACTATGTTAAGAGAAGGATAATCTGGGATTCCTAGTAACTTTGCTTACTAGATACCAATTTTCAAGCATTTTATACCAGCAAGCAACTTGATACAAATCAATATTGGGCTTTTTTGAATGACTTTGCATAATAAGGATCTTTGGTTTATTTATTCTTGTTAATATCAAATATGTGAATTTTAATGAATTCAATTGGTTTTATAGTATGAAGTTTTTAATTGCACTGACATAAAGAATTTTAAAATTATTAGTTACTCAATATTTGAATTTTGGGTTGTGTAAATCATTGAATTTTTAAAAAAAGTTAAACATTGATTATATTTATTCTGATCCATTAAACAATAATTGGTTTTTCTTTGATGAATAAAAGTTTCTAATATTTAATCAAAGGTTTTAGCCACCAAAAAGTTATATTGTTCTATTTTTAAGAAAAATAAGAAGTTGTATTTAAAATTATGATTCATTGACTTATTTTTTTCATTCCTTTTTGCATTAAGTAATTTAGTATATGTAATAGATTTGTAGTATAATGATTTTGAGTTCTAAATTTTTATTAAATTTTGGGTGTACCTAATTATCTGTGACAAATAATTACTAATTATATAAATAAATTAGTTGTGCTTATTTGTCTCACAGATAATTGGT